TCGAAACGTTTGGAAATAAAGATTATTTTATAAATCTTTGGCTTTTCTTTGTTTGATGTATCGCCCTCAAGAACTCACTCACATATCTCAACATCAAAATTAACTACTAAATCATATATATTTAGGACAAAAAATCACAAAATATAACGTGGGGGAGGGGGTATATTGAAATATCACGTGTATTTATTTTTTTAACTAATTTTTTAAAAAAGTTCAAACATTTAAATTGTACAGTCTTTTCACGTAAATAAAAATACACGTAATGTTTGTTGGGGGAGGGGGGGGGGTTAATTTTGAATATCACCACGGATACCCAAGGGGGAGGAAGGGTCCAAAAATTCTTAAAAACTCGCTAACGTGATTAATGGGCGCCCCAAAAATGGTAAAAGACTTGATAAAAAAATTCGAGTAAAAAAATTAAAACCTAACGCATTTCGCTCACATTCAGTTCAAATGTTTCTCTCCAAGTATGTGGCCCTCGATTATTTTTAACGATTCTTCAATGATACAGAGACTGGGCCGTTTTGTTCGCAAAGTGCTCGCCAGTAATGTCCCTTAATTGCTCAGAGAAGCATTCCAGCAGAAAATTGATTAGACAATAGCGTGCTCTCTTTTATATATATATACACATATATAAATTTATATATAGATATATAAGAGCTAAAATAAATTAGCCTCACCTAACTTTCAACTGCATTTCGAAAGCAGAGTAAATTGCTCTAGGGCATTTTATATTAAAAAATATTTTATGTTATTTAATTGTAAAAATATTTTCTGAACACTTCAATCATGCTAAACGAATACTTAACATGTAATGTACATTTACAGGCGGAAAATAATTTTAAAGTATTTCTGTAGGGTTGTTTTGTTAGAAAATATTATAGAGAGTAGTTACAAGAGATATAGTGAATAAATGTATTACTGATGCCAATGTCAATGTGTTCTGTCCAATTGCCAAATGTTCCAATAGACCTCCAATTTTGAACTTTGGCATCTGAACATTCCAATTTATCCCAATAAAATGATAAAGACAACGTTTATTGGACTCAATAGAAGACGCGAGACATCTCTTATTATTATTCTTACATATATACATAATGTGTTATATGAACAATAAGTCAGTGGCGTAGATTTTATTTTCATCCCAAACTATAAATAACATAATCACAAGTCGTTAAAAGTTATTTCTGACCGGTGAGTTGGTCTTGTAATGGTAAAAGGAACAAAAATAAGACGTCGGGTTGGAAATAGACATGAATTGTAGCTAATGCCATTTAATAATAATTAATGTCAATGTCCGAAATAAACTAGTGGTGTATGGCATCGTGTCTTAAGGCAAATTGCTGGAACTTCCCGTACCGTAATGAAATATTCGAGAAATTTTAAACGTTTTCAAATATAATATTACAAATACTGTAACTTTTATTATTTTTCCTATCTTGTTATATCTGAGCAAATCAAATGTAAATCATAAATCAATTTATCTCCAGAACATTAACAATCGTCATTTCGTTTCGAATTCAATTTCAAAAAAATAGTTGCACACAAATTTGCACAAAATTGAAAAAGAGCTCCAATATAGTCACAGTCTAAACGCATTTGCAAATAATTCTGTGCGACATTTTCACTTATACTGTGCTTAGCTTGGCAGCATTTTCACATTTTTCAATAATTTTCACAAAGTTGCTCCAAAATATAACCAGTGCTCCAAACATAAACAGTCTAAACGCACTTGGGTAAACATTTGTACCAAAGTGGCGCTTAGACTGTGCTTAGCCTGGGTAATTTTTCGAATTTTTAATCCAAAATTACAAAAATATTTTATGGAAAATAAAAAAAGATGTAATAATTTTTTATCCTCAAAAGTAATTGAGCAATGTCAATACAAGCAGTAAGTTTTTTTAGATCATTCAAATCGGACGCTTAGTTCACTCAGAAACTGCCATTTTTTGCACATTTTGCTCTGTATCTTCGAAATGGCGGGACCTGTCTTTGCCAAAAACTCATCACCTCTTTTCCCAATCATTACAAATTGAATGTTTTTTAGATCATTCAAATCCGATACTCCGTCCTTTCAAAAACTCGATTTGTATTTCCTGCACTCTTTGCTCCGTATCTCCGTAACGGCTGGACCTGCCTTTGCCAAAAACTAATCAACACATCTCCCTATCAATAGGGATCAAACGTTTTTTGAATCATTCAAATCGGTTGATCCGTGCGCCCGAGAACGTGGACGAAAAAATGCGGACATACAAAACACACATACACACACATCCATTTAGTTTCTGAGGTATGCCAGTAAAATGTTCAGAAACCTTCAAAACGTCGAGAAATGCAAAAATTTTCATTTTCGATTTTCGGCCCATTACTATAACTACCCTACGGGAAGTTAATAAATAAATTAATTTTTCTAACTACACTTCTTTCTAATTTCTTTCATGATAGTTTACGATCAACACTATAACCCTGTTTGGGCTTGACGTTGAGTTCTGGGATACCTTATATAAATATATGATGAGAATCAAAACTAGGTTTTTTCAGAAGTATGTTATCCTAAAATTTTCTTCCTTTCCTTTTATATAAATTTCATTAATCAAATGGTTCAAAACGTTTCAATCCAAGACATCCAAAAATATATTTTAATATTCAATGTCGATTTTGAGTGCACCGAGTTGCTCACTATGCTAGGAAATAATGTAGATTAAGTAATAAATAAATTAAATCCTTGATCCTCCAATTTCCAGGAACATTAGTTTTTTACTACAATGGACACACCACATCCAGACACCGGTTTGACCCCACGTCAAGTCGAAGTTTTGCAGGAAAGTTGGAAAGGACCTTCACAAAATGTAGAGGAAACGGAGTGGAAGTCCTTATGCGGTAAGATTTTTTTTTTATTACCTCTCAGTACCCAAACTTGACTTTTATCCCAATTTTTATTTCCAGTTTATTCACCGCTCATCCCGAGTACATGAAGTACTTTTCGAATTTCTCCGATGTGCCTTTGGATCAGTTGAGGACTTTTGCAAGATTTCGTCGACATGGCCTAAACGTGGCCAGATCTTTGGACCAGGCGATAGGGGAATTGAATGATGTTCCTAAATTGGTAGATAGATTTACTGCTTTGGGTGTTACTCATGGTGGAAGGAAGATTTCCGAACAGGCCTTTCAGGTAATAGAAATAAATCATAAATAAAATAAATTCAGGAATAGAACAAAAGTTTTATAGCTCCCATGTAAATCATGCTGGACTGTCCTTTGTCCGGTTATCCAGAAGTAAACGTATCCAATTTGTTGATTCTGATCTTCATGTACTTCCTTAAGTTTTTATACAAAACAATTTGAACTACGATTTGTTCTATATTCCAATTTTTACAATTTCTTTCGATTCTTAGACTGTTTCTTCTATTGTTGATAGGATTGTTCTCTACAAATTATGGACACCCCTACTTTTCTATGAAGCTTTTCCAGAACTTATTATTTTTGCCAATTTCATTTCAGGATATTACTTGGTCGTTTTCTTAAGTTTTTATTAATTAATTTTCCCCAGTTTCACGTTTCTCGTTCTCCAAAGTCAAAAAATGTTTTGATTTTTATCTAATACTCCTGTCCAGAAACCAACATGCCCTTGATTTTTACCTAGTGAACCTAAAAATATCGTGTCTCCAGATTTTATTTTTATTTTAAGTGCTTCTGTTCTAAAAAAATGTATAACTGCTGATGTTTATGTAGTGCTCCAAAAAATATTAGGTCTCCTGATTTTTTTAAAACGTTTCTGCTCCAGATAACAATGTCTTCTGATTTTTATCCATTGCCTTTGCTCTATTATATAATAGTATATTCTTTGATCTTTATCCCTAATCAGAAAATACATTGCCTTCTGGTTTTTATCTTGAGCTCCTGCTTCAGAAAATATCATGTCTCCTGAATTTTACCTAGTAATGCTGGACAAAAAATAGTATGTTCCTTAATTTTTATTCTGAACTCCTACTTCAAAAAATATCATGTCTTCTGATTTTTTCATAGTGTTTCTGCCCCCAAAATAATATTATGTCTCCTGATTTTCATAAAATGCTCCTACTCCAGATAAAATATAATGTCTTGATTTTTATCCTGAGCTAGTGCTCTAAAAATATCATGTTCCCAGATTTTTACTTAGTAATCTGCTCCAAAATAGTAGATCTCCTTTTTACCTAGTGTCCAGATTTTATTTTTATTTAAGTGCTTCTGTTCTAAAAAAATGTATAACTGCTGATGTTTATGTAGTGCTCCAAAAAATATTAGGTCTCCTGATTTTTTTAAAACGTTTCTGCTCCAGATAACAATGTCTTCTGATTTTTATCCATTGCCTTTGCTCTATTATATAATAGTATATTCTTTGATCTTTATCCCTAATCAGAAAATACATTGCCTTCTGGTTTTTATCTTGAGCTCCTGCTTCAGAAAATATCATGTCTCCTGAATTTTACCTAGTAATGCTGGACAAAAAATAGTATGTTCCTTAATTTTTATTCTGAACTCCTACTTCAAAAAATATCATGTCTTCTGATTTTTTCATAGTGTTCCTGCCCCAAAATATATTATGTCTCCTGATTTTCATAAAATGCTCCTACTCCAGATAAAAATATGTCTTGATTTTTATCCTGAGCTAGTGCTCTAAAAATATCATGTTCCCAGATTTTTACTTAGTAATCCTGCTCCAAAAATAGTAGATCTCCTTTTTACCTAGTGATGCTGCTCCAAAAAATAGCGTGTTCCTTGATTTTTATTCTGTGCTCCTGCTTCAAAAAATATCATGTCCTCTGATTTTTACCTAATGTTTCTGCCCCAAAATATAGTGTGTCTACTGATTTTTATAAAATGCTCCTACCTACTCCTGATAAAAATTGTTTTAATTTTTATCCTGAGCTAGTGCTCTAAAAATATCATGTCCCCAGATTTTAGTCCCCAAAAATAGTAGGTCTCCTGATTCCTACCTAGTTATCCTGCTCTAGAAAATACAAAGTTCTTTGATGTTTATCCTGAGCTTTTGCTTTAAAAAATATCAGGTCTCCTGGTTTCTACTTAGTAAATCTACTCCAAAAAATAGTGTGTCTCTGGTGCTCCGAAAAATAAAAATATTTTATATTTCTGATTCACCACAAAATAGCAGAAAATATAATGCATGACCAAAAATAGAAAAATTTTGTATTCCTGCTCCAGTAAATAATATGTTTGTTCCAAGAATAGAAATATTTAACTTTCCGTAGGGTAATTATAGTAATGGGCCGAAAATCAAAAATGAAAATTTTTGCTTTTCTCGACGTTTTGAAGGTTTCTGAACATTTTGGCATATCTCAGAAAAAATTGATGTGTGTGTGTGTGTTTTGTATGACCGCATTTTTTCGTCCACGTTTTCGGGCGCACGGATCAACCGATTTGTATGATTTAAAAACATGCGATCCCTATTGATAGTGAGATGTGCTGATTCGTTTTTGGCAAAGGCAAGTCCAGCCGTTACGGAGAAACGGAGCAAAGAGAACGGACTAACGGATTTGAATGATTTAAAAAACATTCAATTTGTAATGACTGGGAGAAGAGGTGATTAGTTTTTGACAAAGACGGGTCCCGCCACTTCAAAGATATAGAGCTAAATGTGCAAAGAATGGAAAAATGGAAAAATGTGAAAATTATAGTCATCTATAGTTTAAGAGAATTTTAAAAATATAAGTTATTTCAAGCCTGCTTTGGATAAGATTGCCCTCTTATTTTAATACAAAGTAAAATAATAAAAACACGCTGTGAGATGTTATATAGGAGTATACTCTTATATATACTTTTAAAAAGCATATATGCTTTTTAAAAAATAATGAGGGAGCAAGCTTATCTGAAAATAGGCCTGTATAAGTTTTACCAAAAACTTAGGTTAAACCAAAAAAATATATTTTAATTATTTAAATTTTACAAGTGATAATTTAAATTTTTACGAAATAATAATTTTAACAAACAAATTTAACAGCAAATTAAAGTACATAGCACATATTATAAGTACACACATAAAAAATGTTTAATATACAATTACTATCAAATTTTAATATGAATGATTTTTTTGATAAATTTGATAAAAATTAATAAATCTACTGTTCATAATATGCAGTACACGCATTTAATTTTTTTTCGGCTAATGTGTGTTAATATATTAAATTTTATATTTATGTTAAAATTCGATTTTTTTCCATTTGCACTGTGACACCAGCTTTAGATTTCGATGTCGATAAGTTTTTGACACGATGACACATGTACATATCGATATGTCGATATACGAGATCGATGTTGTAATAAATTTGTATTGTTGTAATAAATTGTAATATATTCGTAAATTGGAATTTTATTAAATAATAAAGGAATGGCCTTAATATTCACAATTTTTACAACATGTATAATTTTTTATCAGGCACCAGAAGTACAAAATGTTTCTAATTTTGGATCAGACATGAAGATTTCTAGACCAATGGTACAAAATGTTAATATTTGTAAAGAAAACAATTTTCTCCATGAGGAATACAAATATTCTCATTTGGATCAGAAATATTTTCATATTTTAAAATATTTCTAATCATATTATATAACATTTTCCGGATTAGTAATTCAAAATATTTCTACTTTTATCTTCCCGTAGGGTAGTTATAGTAATGGGCCAAAAATCGAAAATGATAATTTTTGCATTTCTCGACGTTTTGAAGGTTTCTGAACATTTTGGCATACCTCAGAAAACTAATGGATGTGTGTGTGTGTTTTGTATGTCCGCATTTTTTCGTCGAATGATCTAAAAAACTTTCTGCTTGTATTGACAAAACAATTGCTTTTGAGGATAAAAAAATATTACATCTTTTTTTATTTTCCATAAAATATTTTTGTAATTTTTGATTAAAAATTCAAAAAATTTCCCAGGCTAAGCACAGTCTAAGCGCCACTCTGGTATAAATGTTTACCCAAGTGCGTTTAGACTGTTTATGTACCCCGGAGTGAAAACTACTGAAAAATGTGAAAATGCCGCCAAGCTAAGCACAGTATAAGTGAAAATGTCGCACAGAATTATTTACAAATGACATTTAGAATGTGACTATACGGAAGCACTTTTTCAATTTTGTGTTCAAAATTAGGCAACTATTTTTTTTTTTTAAATTGAATTCGAAATGAAATTACGATTGTAAATGTTCTGGAGATAAATTGATTTATTTATGATTTACATTTGATTTGCTCACAATCAGATATAACAAGATAGCAAAAATAATGAAAGTTACAGTATTTGTAATAATATATTTGTGAACGTTTAAAATTTCTTGAATGTTTCATTACGGTACGGGAAGTTCCAGCAATTTGCCTTGAAGCACGATGCCATACACCACTAGTTTGTTATGCATACTCTTGTGTGGACCAGAAGTATAATAAAGTTCTACTTTTTGCTACATAAAAAAGAAACTTTTCTATCATATTTCTGCCATTATAGCAATATTCTGAAATTTAATACTCTTCAGTATTGCTTTTGGACGGCGCAATAAACTTGCTCCAAAATAGTCCTAAACTACAAATACAATACCATTTACTACTATTGTTTCCAACTTGAACCCGATATCACAGGAAAAAAATGACGTCTCAAAACGATTCCATTCTTCTCGGTTTCTATAAATATCACAACACAATGACACCAAATTTGTTATTATTATTGTTAATAACAACAATATCGATTGTTGATAATTGACAATTTTATTGTTCTTGAGATGCATTTTGCAAAACAAACCGGAGATGACCTCTCGTATCTTTGGGTCTCTGACGCAGGGCAATTGTCTTATGGGGGCACAGGGTGCTCCAAATGTAATTGTAATGGAACGATTTGATTTCAAAGAAAAATTGAAATATTTTGACTTCCAGAAATTAGTTTATCTAATTCAGAATATAGAAATATTTTGTATTCATGGTCCAGAAGATAGTCTGTCTGATACAGAAAATTGGAGCATTTATTTCTATTTCTGGTGGGGAAAGAGCATGCAAAAATAATGATAATTTCTTACTTGTTATGTATGTACTATATGATGTCACAAATTTAGTGTCGAAACGTTTAACCAAATAATTTTCATTGTTTATTTTATTTTCAATCGACGTATTGGCCAATATATTTTTATTTAAATTTTTAAAATTGTGAATGAAGAAATATGATTTGATCACAAATATGGTAAAAGTAGGCCTAATTTGTATTTCTGAATCTAAAAATAGTATTTCTGGTCAAATCAAATGTAAATCATAAATCAATTTATCTCCAGAACATTAACAATCGTCATTTCATTTCGAACTCAATTTCAAAAAAATAGTTTAGTTGCCTAATTTACACAAAATTGAAAAAGTGCTCCCGTATAGTCACAGTCTAAATACGCATTTGCAAATAATTCTGTGCGACATGTTCACTTATACTGTGCTTAGCTTGGCGGCATTTTCACATTTTTCAAAATTGGAAAAGCGCTCCATTACATAAAGAGTCTAAACGCACTTGGGTAAACATTTGTACCAGAGTGGAGCTTAGAATGTGCTCAGCCTGAGTAATTTTTAACTTCCCGTAGGGCAAAATTATAGTAATCGCAAAAAAATCGGAAACGAAAATGTTTATATATCTTTACGTTTCAAAACCTTCAGAATATTTTGGCATACCTTAGAAAAAAATGATGTATGTGTGTGCGGATACAAATTTTCGTCGACGATTTCGGAAACACGAATGAAGCGATTTGAATAATTCAAAAAACATTCAATTCGTACTGATAAGGAGACGTGCTGATCAGTTTTTGGCAAAGGCAGGTCTAGCCGTTCCGAAAATACGGGGCAAAAAGTGCCAAAAACGGTAACTCAGTTTTTAAGACAACGGAGCGTCCGATTTGAATAATTCAAAAAACGTTTTACTTGCATTAACAAGATGAAGAACTGATCAAATTTTCGTGAAGGCAGGTCTAGCAGTTTCGGAGATCTAGTAAAAAAAAGTAAAAAATAATGCCATTTGGCGGTCAAAAATTATCATTAGACATATGCACATCAAATTATCAGATAGTTTATAGAGATTTTAACAATAAGTATAAATTTGTTTACATTCATATGGGTTCCGTACCAATGTTTATCCGTTAGACGGCGACGCGGCGCTTACGCACTTCGATATTTCGTCTCTATGCAGTTAAAGCAGTACGATTGCTTTGAAAAATAGTTCAGAATTTCTAAAATATTTCAAAATAAATTTTTCTTTTGAAACGTAAAGATGTATAAAAATTTTCATTTTCGATTTTATTGCGATTACTATAACTTGCCCTACGGGAAGTTAAAAACAGAAAGACTTTTATTAACCTCAAAATTTCCAACAGTGATCATCAACATCGGGTCCAGTATCAATAAATAAATAATAGTGTTTTTGGATCATTCAACCGGTTTCAACTCGAATACAAAGAGGATACAAACAATACAAAATAAATATGAAATAAATAAATAATTATATATATATACATATATATATATATATATATATATATATATATCCGAGTCGATTAAACATGAAGAAGAGATAATAACAAATGTCGTCTGTGGAATTAAATTTCGACTTCAGTTGAACTTTGAATGTTAAACGAACAATGCACGAAAAGATTATTAAAATTATTAATTAAATAAATAGAAAGATTATTGGTTAATGAATAAATAAATTCAATAACAAAATATTGACGAAGTTAATAATAAAAATTGTTTATTAGAGTAAAACGTAAGAGAGGATATTTTTTAAATGAAAGAGAGCGGATTCTTTCTTGTTAATTTTGATTCATTTTTAAAAATTTAATTAAAAATATAACGTCGATTGTAAATGAAATAAGTAATAAAAATTATTTAGTTTAACGTTTCGGCACTAAATATGTGTCATCATATCGTACATACATAATAAGTAAGTAATTATTATTATTTATGGTTATTTGTTTTCGACACATTGGCTGCTAATATTTCTAATTGTTAACAAATTCTTTTATTTATTATTTGTTTGGAAAATTAAAATAATTTTAAAAGTTGGTAAAGAATAATATCTTAATATTTTTCCAATTTACCAATTATTTCCAAGACCTAGTCACGTGAAATAATGGTATTCCAAAGATAACAGATGTGTGTGCTCCAAAAAAAAGTTTTGATAATAGATAAAAGATGGAAAAACGTGTAAAAAGTCGATTTGTGTATTTATTTACTTTATTTTTACAGTTTAGTGACTGATACCGAGTGTGAATGAAAAAAAGTTAAAATAATAATTACATTAGTGATAAAACTTTGATGAAGAAGAACACTCTTTTGTATTTGCAATTGCAAATTGGATGGAGGAACAAAAATATGAATAAATGTTGAAAAAATTATGAAATAACTTTAAAAAATAAATAAAGAGTTAAAAAATAAAATGGGTTAAAATTGGTGAAAAACTAAAATCAGTGTCGATTAAATTCAACAATTGCCTAATTATTTCCAAAGAAAATTTGCATATTTTTTATATAAAAAATAAATACTGCTGTTTTTACTAAAAGTGTTAAATATTTAAAAAAAGTTATTAGTGAAAAAATGTGACAAAAACATAAATAATTTAATATTAGATACATATTGAACCAGAACCCAAGTAAATTTAAAAAAAAGTTAACTGTTTCAACATTATATATTTTTTAATAATATTATTTAATAAAATTTAGTGCCATTGAATTTCAATTTTAATTTAAAAAAAATATATCGAAGATAATAATAATAAATATTTTAGATTTTAATAAAATTATTATTATCATATCATCTGTCACTTTCTGAATATTATTTATTGATATTTTATTAATATTATTTTTTAAAAAATTATTATACTAATCAGTGAAAAATTGTGCCAAAAAGATTTTTAATAATGTAATATATTTTTGTATCAAGGGATACATAATAAATAATTAATATAATAAAATAATTAATTAAAAATGACTATGTAAAAATGTGACAAAAGTAAGTTTCTTAATATAAAATAATAATTTAATAAAATACATTATATTCTGTATCAAAGGATACATATTAAATAATATTTTTGTTAAAAATATATACAGCTGAATTATATTTACTAAAAATCTCTAAGATTTATAAAAATAACTACTATTAGTGTAAAAGTGTGCCAAGAGTAATAAGATTTTTAATTAAATAGATTTAGTACTGAATTTAATATAAATAATAAAAAATATATTAAATAGAATTTTGTATTATGCAAAAAATTTATTAATTATAATATTTAAAAAATCTGAAATTATCATAATAATAACCGTTTTTTCATTATTAAAGTTGTTTAAAAAAGTTCATAAATTAAAAAAAATAATATAAATAATAATGTTTAATACTGCTTTTATAAAAAAATTAGTACAAGAGGCAAATTAAAATCTACAAAAAAAATATTTTTTTGCCAACGGTCTAAAAATGCAATATTATTTTTAATTTGTGAAAAAATTGTACCAAAATTATAACGTTCATAAGAAATTTGTTTAAAAAAAATGTGATAAGTGCCAAAATATATAATAAAATTAAATAAATAAATAAATTTAATATTTTAAACAAATCAAAGTGATTGCAAGAATTTAAAATGTGACTGTCTCAAATAACTACTAAAGTAGCTGAAAATTAGATAAAATAGAAGAATAAAAAGTGATTTTTGTGTGAAACAATTCATAACACATCCACAAAATTCTGGAGAACCAAAAATCATAAAAAGAAGTTTTTAAAACAACTTTTCAACTCAAGAAAAAAATATTCTAATTTAGTTTTAATAACCAAATCATATTTGTTATAAACAAAACAAGATCGCGGTACAACAGTAGGAATAAAAGTGATTATAACACACGTACAACTTTGTTTTAAAGTCAAAAAGTGTAAAAAAAAGTCAATAACACCAAAACCAACCAAAAACTCCTAAATTGGTCCAAATTACCTTATCCCCAATTATAATTTCGATTTTTTTCGATGTCACCAAAAATGAAATCGATTTCCTTCATGTCGATTCTTCTAATAGTTTTGGCCAAAATGCCAAATTTGGTCAAATGCACCATCGACATGAATTTGAGCGAAATCGAATATATAGCCGACCATTTGGAGCCCCAAGAGTGCAAGGAATTGGCCGCCTTGTTGCATTTTAAGGCCTATAATGCGCCCAAAGATCTGCACATCGCAGGTAATAAATAGATAACTAAATAGATAAATTTACTGATGAGAAATTAAATTATGGGTTTTTTTCTATGTGTGTACTGTATATAGTATGTTTTAATACGAGGCGTTATACGCAATGATGGAACAAAGTGTAAGAGAAGTGATGATTTTTTATTTAAATTTTAAAGTATTAAATTAGTGCAATGGATTTAAACCCCAAATATAAAGCTTAACTTTTTTTAGAAATGAATACTTGAATAAATTTTAATTTACAAAATAGAAATTTACCATAATAATATAAATCTTAATCATAAAGGAAGTCTTAATCTTAAAGTTAAAGTTAAATGACTAGTTCTTGTAAAAATATAATTAAATAAACCTAAAAAATTATTAAATAAAATAAATGAAAATAATCTAATAAATATAAAAGTCCTTCCTATAGGATTAAATTTTATAAGTAATTTAAATTCATTATGAAGTGTTATAATAATTTTTAATCAAATTATATTGTATCGGGACGGAATTATTCAAAATATATTTGGAATAAATAATAGTCCTAATATAGTTCTAATTCAATTTAAAGATAAATTATTTGAGTTTATAGGATCAAAAATAGAAAATAAATTAGTTATCATTTTCAGATAAAAATATTATTATTAAAGTAATTTTTCTTTAATAATTTAATATTTCTATATTTTAATATAAAAAAGTTTTTAATTATAAATAAGATAAAAATAATAATAAAATAAATAGATTAAATTAATCATAATATTGGTATTATTTGTGGCAATAAAGATTAAATTAAATTATTTTAAAGAGTAGTTGTAGGGCATTATGATGTTAGACAATGTTTTAGATAATTTAATTTTATACAAATTTTGCGAATACTGTATTTAGTTTGCACAAATAGTTTAAAAGTTATACAAAATTTTAAAATAAATGCGCATTCTATTTACTACACGCAGAACAATGGTTTTACAGCCGCCAAATTTGTTTTTCATTTTTTATTTAAATTTTAGATTATACCGAGTAGTTGTAGGGTTTTATGATGTTAGACAATGTTTTAGATAATTCAATTTCAAACAAATTTCTCGAATACTGTATTTAGTTTGCGCTAATAGTTTAAAAGTTACAGATAATTTCCACCTTACTCAGCGTAGTTCAATTGTTTTGACAACGCCAAATTTGTTTTTCACTTTTTATTTAAATTTTAGAGTATACCGAGTTGTTGTAGGGTTTTATGATAATAGACAATGTTGTATATAACTTAATTTTATACAAATGTACCGAATACTGAATTTAGTTTGTACGAATAGTTTAAGAAAAAAAACAAGCAAGGCAATACGTTATTATTGCATATTATAGATATATTGTTATTTATTATTTTATCAATAATAAGATTTACATCATTCCATTATTTGTTTTACAAACAATAAGGTTTATATTATTCCGTTATTTACTTCATTCACTAAATATTAGTTCAAGATTTCCATTAATGAAATCACATCAAAGAATTCTAAAATTATCTTCATCTTTGACCTAAAACTGAAGATGATATTTTTGGCTCCGGTTATAATTCTGATATCGAGTCAAGGTTTTTGTAACAGATTGCATAAAATTATGTAATTATAAATTAACCGTCGCTATGCAATTGAATAATATTATTATCTCTTAAAAGATTTGAATTTAATGGCTATGAAAAAAATATTATAACAAAATCCAAGGCCATTTTATGAAGCTTATATATTTTAAATTATTATATAGATTTATTACAGGTAAGAAAAATTGTTAGAAACTAAATAATGCAAAAAAATCTAACAATACAAAGCCATAATAAAAAAATACATAAATTCGGCGTCTGCAAAATGGTCGAACTACACGGACTGAGGAAAGATGCGCATTTATTTATGAAATTATTTATAACTTTTAAACTATTTGTGCAAACTAAATACAGTATTTGGAAAATTTGTACAAAATTAAATAGTCAACATCATTGGGACATACAACAACTCGGTATACCCTAAAATTGCAATCAAAAATGAAAAACAAACTTGGGGTCTGCAAAACAATTGAACTACACAGAGTAAGGAAAGATGCGCATTTATTTATGAAATTATTTATAACTTTTAAACCATTTGTGCAAAGTAAATACAATATTTGGCAAATTTTTACAAAATTGATCAGTCAACAACATTGTCTAACAACATAATGTCCTACAGCAACTCACTATACTCTAAAATTGCCATCAAAAATGAAAAACAAACTTGGGGTCTGCAAAACAATTGAACTGCAATGACTAAGAGAGAATGCACTTTCATTTATGAAATTATTTATAACTTTTAAACTATTTATGCAAACTAAATACAATATTTGGCAAATTTGTTTAAAATTAAATAGACAACAATATTGTCTAACATCCTTATGCCCTACAACAACTAGGTATACTTTAAAACTGCAAAAGAAAATGAAAAGTATTCCCGACAGTTTATGATTATGTTAAATATAAACTATAAATTTTGTTTAGTAAAAAAAATGTGAAGATTTGAATAGTAAAAATAGTTTAAATTTTCATAATAGTAATAATAATAAAATGATTTACTGTTCTAAATTAATGGATTTGGAATTGCAATTGCAATTTAAAAAAATCGGTTCAAAAATATTTTCAAAAATATTTATTATATTACATAACTAATTAACCATTATATTATTTATTAATAATTTACTATATTAGTATTACCCATTATACTACTTATTATTATTATTATTATTATACTATTTTCCAGAAAGAAAAATATCAGACGAGATACCCTGCATACGTCTGCTCCTGCATTACAACATAGAAAAAGGCGAAGGAAAGGGGGCAACCCATGTGGACATGGAAATAAGGCTGAGACAAATTGGACGAGAAGATTTGGCAAACTGGTTAGGAAGGACAGTCTTCCACCAGTTGGCCGTAACTTTGAACAAAACCATTTTGGGAGAAGCCCCTTTGGAAGAGAACAGTACTACAGAAATGGAGTAAGTGGGACAAAATTATATATATATATATATATATATATATATATATATATTATAATGATATTAAAATCTGACCTTTTACCAGCACGGACACCACAACAGACGAGGCCTTCAGAAGGGACCCCCAAATCGACAACTGGACCTTTGTAGACTCCTTAAGTTGGACTGTTATAATTGTAATCTTAGGCGTAACTTTCATCATAACTTGCAGGCTGATCTTCATTGAAATCAGGACCAAACATGCAGACAAGTGGGTTTATATTAGACACGGAAATGTTTATCATAGGATATAAATATTTATATATATATATATATATATATATATATATATATATATATATATAATGGATACAGGAAAACTTACATGAGAGATAAGCGATATAGCTTCACATAAGTCCTTTACTTGACTTGATTCTATTTCATGAGGAATTAAATGCTCTTAATGCATAGTAGATTGCTAAAATAAAATTTAAATTCATTTATATTTAAGTATATTAAACAAAATAGCAACAGAGGGCTCAATTGATTAAAAAAGGCACCTCTCAAAGATATATTTAATAAAATTGTATTGCTTAAATATTTTCACATGTTCAAATTTAAGTTCAACATCAGTTTTGCAAATTTACTAAAAAGTTTTACTTTATGTTTGTACTTTTCTAATCAAATAACTAAAAACATTTGTAGTTTATATATTATAGTGTATATAATATCATTTTATTATTTAATGGCTTTTAAACAAATGAATATGATTAAATTCATGTTTTTTTAATATCTAATTTGACTGAAAATTTATGTTACATTAATTGTAAATATGTAAGTTTTAATTTAAGTAGTATTTTAACAGGAAGGTTGTAAATAAAATAACATACTATCGAGTATCAAGTGAGGAAGAATTTGAGGATGATAAAAACGTACAGTGAATAAATAAAAAAATGTTTATTAATTTTTTACATTTTGTTTTATTTCGTAATCATATAATGTACATTCACTTGACTTCTTTAACTTGGAGACCTGTAACAAAAATAAAAGAATTAGTGAACAATTTATATAATATTAAATTATATAAATAAAAAGAGTAAAATAAAAAGAGTAAAAAATAAATATATAATAAATAAATAGTTTAATAGATTAGAGATAAAATTTAAGTAAATGGAAAAACAAATGAAAAATGTTGAACAAATTTGTAAGTGAATAAATAATTATAAAATAAAACGAATAAACAAATGAGTAAATTATTGAATGAACAAAAAAGTGAAAGATGTAAACAAATTTTAGAGTATAGTATAAGTAAACAAAAAAACACTATGGATTGACTTGACAAGAGCCTGAAATAATATCTACTATTGATTACGGCTTGCTTATGAATAAATAAATAAAAATTAATGAATAAAGCTAAATTAAATAAAAAATGAATGCATATTATTTATTTCCTTTTGTAAGAGATTCTTGAACAACTAAACTCATCAAAAAGTCAAGCTGTGGAAAGTATCATCCAAATTAATCTCACAGTACTGAACGCCACAATAAATATCAAAAAATTCAATCATGGAGCTGAGACTGTGCAAAAAAACTCATTCAATCACCAAATCGACAATTATTACCTGGTGGCAAAGATTGCTTGAGCTTCTCGGCCTTCTCTTTATCAGTAATGACCAATGTGTACAGAAACCTGGAGCAACGTACCTTGAACTTTACGTTATCGGGGTTCTTCTTTATTTTAACAGCTAGAAAATAAATCAGTTGAAAAAACAAATCATATTGCAATTTATGTTAATAATAATGTAATGACGTGATGGAATGTTACTGATGTTTATTTCGATGTGCCTATGTACTTAAGCACACCGTGGTAAGATTCAGTCTTGATCTCACAGTCATAAACGCCGAGACAAACATGGAAACTTTGAATCGGAGCTGGGACTGTGGTGGTAAAGAAATAGTTTGAAACACTTACGAGAACTATGAAACACATGCACTGTTTATGTATTTATCACATAATATCACATTTATGTATTAAAAAACTTTTTTATGAAGGATGTGAATAGTAGTTAATTCTTATACTATATAGTGAAAGTCACACAATTTCTAAAGACACTTTAAGAATTAATCACACGTATGTGGATATAAATCGTAGTGCACATTTTCTGAAGAAGTACATTTTAACTAAGAATAACCTAATAATAAAAACATGTGTTTATACAGTAAACTGCAACTTGGACAAAAAATATGCTCCCAACATTTAAGGTTAAGTATAATTAAAAAGCTTAGATAAATCTTAGATCTTAGATAAAATAGTTTTAATTATGATTGAAAATGTTTATGAACTTAAATACAATTACAAGAATGGATATGGTACTCACATTTAGCATCCTTCCTCCTTGCTTTCAGAAGGAAATCTTTAATTTCTTTAATTTCACGTGGCTGAAATAAACAAACACATCATGTAATTTCCATTGCTCAAAATCTTTACAAATAATAAGTAATAGCACGTATAACTATTATATATTTAAGGCATGTATAAGTATTTTATTACTATTATCATAACCTCACCATTTTGTCTCCCTCGATCTGCAAATGTCAAGAACCGAAACTGAAATGAAAAAATATTCATTACAACACACATCTTGTTAAATATTACTATTTAATTTAATTAAAGAACGTCCGGATGGCCTAACAGAACACAAATGAACACTTACATTTCGGTTGCCTCGAAATAAAAGAAAGATGAAAGAAAACACAACTTTACCTTGTACGAGCAATTCCGGAAAAGAAGCAAGTTGGTGTGTTGGCAGCACTTGTACACGAAGTGCTATACGAATGGCTCTCAATCTGTGAATAAAATAAATTTAAAATGATTGAAAATTAAAATTTGGTAATAAAAAATAATTAAAACATAAAATGAATATCATTATATATATTATATATTATAATTGCCAAAAAGCAACTAATATATCGTACGAGATTATGAAAATTATAGACGAAATTATTGAAGCAATTATGTCGTGTGGTAAAATCAAGTGTGATATTGTTCCTTTACAGAAAATACTGTATTATTTTTTTTTTAATTTCTTATACTACTTTTACTAAATTTACTACGTCACATAGGATATTAAAAAATTTAGGATAGGATATTAAAAAATTTGTAACTTTTCAATTGTAAACATGAGTACAGGACAACATCTGTCGGGTCATCTAGTATATATATATATATATATATATATATATATTTATTAAAACATAATTATTATTTTTATATTGCTTAATATTTTTAAAATATTTTAACATTCAGCAAATCAGATATAATTTATTGTTTTTTGTAAATTTATTCTATTCCTCTTATATTTTATTTTTTAATAGTAATTTTTGTTTGTTTTACAGTTTAATGATATAATAAAATATTATAAATTATTTATTTTTGTACAAATTAGCCAATATATTATAAATTTAAATAAACTTTTTAAAAAGATGTAATAAGTATAATCATTATTGTTACTGGTTCAATATTTTAATTTCAATTATATAAAAAATAAAATACTCATTAACTTTTATATCTATTTATTTACCTTTATAAATATTCTTAATAGCAATAGATTAAAAAACATCACATAAACATATATATAGAAGAAGCCATAACATTTTAAAATCGAAATATATCACATGCATATAGAATAAAACGAGTAAAAATCTCAGAGTAAATTTTAAATCTAAAATATCACTTATTCATAAGAAGTTTTACTCAAAATCCATTCAGCTGTAAGAACTGCCATTTCGCCTGAGCTCTTTAGAACAAAGGCATGAGCATAATTCCATTTACAAACTTGTGCGTCAATATTAGGAAATTTATCTTTTAATTCTTTATAATACTCAAGAGGTGTCCAACCGTCTGTTGCACCATAATATAATTTCATCCTCGATTGATGCTCCTGCACAGCCTTCACATCCAATTCAGTGACTTTATCCATTTCATCTTGGGCCAAGAATAATACTTTTTGCAAAACACTGACTTGTATGTAATTTAAAGTCGTGCCCAAAAACCAATTGGGAATGGAAGATAAAATGAAATAGAAGTATATCAAATAGGTTCTTACAAATATTGGTAACAGGCAAAAGAGCATTACTATAAATTGGAGTATTTTACGAATCGGGAACAAAAAGTTGATTAAAAGTTTGCCATTGGAAGATTCTGCCATTCTTTCGATGGTCGGGAATAATAGATAGGTATGTAATATCTTTTTACTGACTTCGGAATTTTTTAACAGTTGCAGGATCATCCAGGATCCTATGGAATGTCCGACAAGATGTATCTTAGTGTTTTCAGGTACATATTTTTTTATAAATTCAACCTATAATAAAATTGACTAATGAATACAAAATTTGATGCAAATAAAGTATATTAAGCCAAATTTAACCTTATGTTTGACTTGGCCTTCCAAGTTAAACAAATGTTCATTGTTTTCGAGATCAGGAATGTTTATTGATTTATCACTTGCAGGTTCATCATGTCCTGCATGACCTAATAATAATATTCATAATATAAAAACCATTTTATTAATAAACCACTACCAGAACTACTAATACAACTGGAATTACAATTTGCCAATAAAGAAGCAATAGAAATATCTGAGAAGAACTAATATTAACTTCCAATTGAATATTAAAAACAATATGTCCAATGGACAAGGCTATAAATATTTTTTTAAACTATCTTGGCAGCAGAAAGTCTTATGAACATCAATTGCTACAAGAAATGAAAAGCTATACTCAAAAGTTTGACCAATTCTTTGTAAAAAAAAGCTCACTTTTGTAAAAGACAATTGTGTTTCTCACTTCTACATGCTCTACTAGACTAAAAAAATCAAAATCCACTTTGTGTCCTTTCAATTTACAATTTGTGAGCTACGATGTCTATAACAAACAATATCTGCACAATCATACCGATAATCCAAACAGGAATGTCTTTTCCTAGCTGATAATGTAATTCTGCTAAATATCTCGTGTAATATCCTGGTAAACCAGGATTTCCTGGTATACACAAGACAATTTCTCTTTGTTTTGACAAATCTGCTTCGATCCAGTCACCCCATGTCATTACATGGGTAGGAACATTATTGACATCAATAAATGCTTCATGCATTTTTGGTATTTAAATTAAACTAGAAAGGAAAGAAAAATTGAAAAATATTTATGAGAATACACATTTTAACCATAGTGCTAATGGATTTATAGGAAACAAATTGTTCAAAATCTGATAATCATGATTTAGACAATTTTCATGATTGATTTTAGAGTTTAGACAATGTTATGTATAAAACAGAACTTATTAATAATAAATTTGATGAGAAAATCAATATCGATAGACTAGGCATGCTGAATTAGAACTATTAAAGAAACCTTGATCCATATTGGGCCTCACGTTAGGTAAAGCTAGGTAAATTAATATTTAATTTATATTATTAGAACATTATATTGCAATCAATTACTAAAGAGACGTTGCAATTAAATAATTTTCAAACAAATTCTATATATATCCGTATAAAATAATATATTAAATTGTATATATATATATATATATATATATATATATATATATGAACAAATAAAATAAATAACAAAAAACTGCTAAAAAACCTTTTGAGTAATAAATTTTGTAACTACACTTTGAAGAACACTTTAAATTATTAGAACATTATATTGCAAGTAATTATCAAAGAGCAATAAATTAAATACCTCAATTAAATTCTAACTACTGCATTCACGTCAAATAATAACTAGTATTTAAATTTATTATCTTTCACACTTTCAAAAGTCTTTTACAACTACTAAGCATATAAGAACTTTGTACCTTTGTATATATATAATAAATATATTGGTTTTGTGATAAGATTAGGAGTATTTTGGCTGCCGAGTATTTGTTCAATTATATTCTTTCCAATTATATCTCCATTGTATTGATTTTATTTGTTATTGTTTACGACGACAATTTCACAATCTTTCCCAATCGCTTCTGGAAATTTTGACAGTTCGCCTATGGCGTGAAGTAGGTCAAAGTTGAGTTGAGAGAGATTAATGTCAGATTTGTGGCGCCGTTTTTAAAATTTCTCCTCGGATAAAAAATTGTTATCTAGTGTTAAAATATTTTTGATACGGGATAGAACTAATAGATAAATTAATAGATAGGTAAAAGAATTTTGTATACAAGAATAGGATATTACACAATCACAAGGACACATAATAGAATAAGACTTTTAAACACCATAAATAATGTTTGAATAATTACCATTGCAATAAATAACTAATGGTGTACGGCATCGTGCCTTAAGACAAATTACTGGAACTTCCCTTACCGTAATGAAATAATCGAGAAGTTTTAAACGTTTTCAAATATATTATTACAAATACTGTAACTTTCATTATTTTTGCTATCTTGTTATATCTGAGCAAATCAAATGTAAATCAATCATAAATCAATTTATCTCCAGAACATTAACAATAGTCATTTCATTTCGAATTCAATTTAAAAAAAAATAGTTGCCTAATTCACACAAAATTTGAAAAGTGGTCCCGTCTATCCACAGTCTAAACGCATTTGCAAATAATTCTGTGCGACATTTTCACTTATACTGTGCTTTCACATTTTTCAATAGTTTTTGTTTTCGTTTTCGCAAAATTGGAAAAGTCTAAACGCACTTGGGTAAACATTTGTATCAGAGTGACGCTTAGACTGTGCTTAGTCTGGGTAATTTTTTCAATTTTTAATCCAAAATTACAAAAATATTTTTTGAAAAAAAAAATTAGAAACAAATTTTTTTTTTCCAAAAGCAATTATTTTGTTGAAACAAGCAGAAAGTTCTTTGAATCATTTAAATCGGACGCTTAGTACTCTCAAAAATTGCCATTTTTTTAACATTTAGCTCTGTATCTCTGAAACCGCTGGGCCTACCTTGGCCAAAAACTGATAACCACTTTTCCCCGTCATTACAAATGAATGCTTTTTGGATCATTCAGATCGGATGCCCCGTTCTCTCAAAATCTCGATTTCTATTTTCGGCACTCTTTGCTCTGTATCTCCGTAACGGCTGGACCTGTCTTTGCCAACAACTAATCAGCACATCTCCCTATCAATAGGAATTGAATGTTTTTTAAACCATTCAAATTGGTTGATCCGTGCGCCCGAAAACGTGGACGAAAAAATGGGGACATACACACTGACACACACACATCCATTTTTTCTGAGGTATGCCAAAATGTTCAGAAACCTTCAAAACGTCGAGAAATGCAAAAATTTTCTTTTACGATTTTCGGCCCATTATTATACCTACCCTACGGGAAGTTAATAAATTATTTTGTTTGTTTGTTTATAATTTTCCTCATTTTAATTAAATGTAAATTATATTATACTTAAGTGTCCTAGTAGTGCACCTTAAATTCTCATTAATATTAAAAAAGCTTTCATTTTTTATAAAATTCTTTTTAAAGTTCATTAAGATGTTCAAAAAAAATTAAAATGTTTAATTGAAAAAACCTACAAAAGTTTTCTTTTAAATAAAATATATACAAATAATTGAAACTCAAAACCCACAACAGGATTCAAAAAATATCTAAGACAGACATATTTATAAAATTAAAATTATATATTTATTTAGAGAAATTAAACTAAAATTGACTTAAAAATATATATGTATTCAAATATGTGTGTTTATATGTATATGTTGATATTAATTCTTTTTTCTTCTCAGAGACAAAACAAAAGTCTTCAGACACTCCAAGTGACCCACTGACCCTATTAGACCTCAGAATCAAAAAAACGACATACGATGTCTAATTTGTTAAGAAACATTTCGTGCAAAACGATAGTGGAATAATTATTTAAATAAATAAATTATGCATATATACATATGTTTGTTAAACAACTATTTAGATAATTGATGCATTTAAAAACATAATTATATACCACAAAAATACTATTGTTTATTTACGTTCAAATTGCATATAATTTGCAAAACAAACAATTATAATATGAATATTCAGATGATCTCATTAAATTTTATTTTAAACATTATTTGCAAATATTTACTGTTTATTAATTTTGACTATATATATTCAATATGGAATTCAGATAAAATCAATAAAATATTGGTTTGAATTTTTTTCTCTTCAAATTTTCGAATAATTTTTATTTATAATTTCCTAATATTTTGTAATCTAATTATTATAAAAAACAAATAAAATGAATAAATATTATAATTTTAGTTTTATGTTTGCACTAATAAACAGTTTTGACGACAAACAACGACTCTCGAACTGGTAATTTCACTTTAGCAACTCCACTGGGTCATAAAATTTATATATATATATATATATATATATATATATATATATATTAAGAGTATATGTTTGTATAAAATTAATAAGGAAAGCAAAAGAAGACAGATTCGTATTTGTAGCAATATATGCAACCAGGACATTTTTTTACATTTTGTGAAATAACTTGGAAATTTTGTTCCGGACACTTATATTTGTTTATATTAATAAAAACTAGAAAAAAATTACTAAAGTTTAGTTTAAATTATAATATATACTTGCATACTAAAATTTTGAATAATAGTTAGTGAATACGCAGATTTGGGTTTGATAGTTATTAGCAATATGTGGATTTAGGAATTTTATTACATTTTGTGAAATTACTTGAAAATTTTGTTCCGGACACTTATATTTGTTTATATTAATAAAAACTAAATAAAATTTACTAAAATTTAGTGTAAATTATATATATATTTCAAAGGTCAAGTCAAAATAGCCCACGTTTCCGGCTTAGAGCAACTTGACCCGGAATAACGCGTCGTTCTAGGTTGCGCGCCAAATTGAAGAAAATCTTGGGAAAATGTAATTCGTACAAAATTTTAGGTTTGATTCTCATCACATATTTATATATATATATATATATATATATATATATATATATATATTGAAGTATGTGGAGTTTGGTGTTGATATATATTTTGATGAGTTATTTAGAATCGGGCAGTAACACCAAGTAAAAAAATTAAAGTAATTTTGAAATACTTAATTTATCCAAATTAAGCCAAATTTTTACTTGGTGTTACTGTCCGATTTTAAATAACTCATCAAAATATATTTATATATAAAATTCTTCAGTACGGGGGTAAGTCGAGATATTCCTCCTAAACGATTATTCGGATTTTGATAAATCTTTCTGAAGTTTGTTAAGGATTTTGTAGGATGTAAATGACAATATAAAACAATAGTAATGTTGTAGAAATAAATGGCAAAAATTACAATTATCATTGTTTGTCAATGATAATTGTCTATAAATGTCAATTCACTTTAAATTTGAATTTAGCTGAAATTATGAGCCTAGATAATATTAGAATATAATATACAAGAAAAATGTAACGTTTACAATATTATTGGAAAAAGCAGCTGAGATCTGCCAGAAATTAAAATAAAATAAGATACAATCAACAGTATATGGTTTGGCAGATGAAATTATATAATTCAACATAACCAGTCCAAAATAATTTTGAATAATTTGTAGTTGAAACGCAGATTTGAGTTCGGTTATATTTAGCTATACATGGATATGGGACGTTTTTTACATTTTGTCAAATAACTTGGAAATTTTGTTCCGGACACTTATATCTGCTTATATTATTAGAAACTAGATAAAATTTACTAAAATTTAGTATAAATTATAATATACACTTGCATATTGAAATTTTGAATAATTTGTAGTTGAAACGCAGAATTGAATTTAATAGTAAGCAATATATGGATTTGGGGCTTTTTTTACATTTTGTAGAATAAATTGAAAATTTTGTTCCAGACACCTGAATTTATTTATAAAATGTAAAATACTAGATAAAATTTACTAAAAGTTAGTATTATTTGTTATATACACTCCAATATTAAAATTTTAGACACAACATACGAGACATCAAAAGTAGATGGTAGGAAAAAATTCTGTAAACAAGGAAGAAAAAAGGAGCAATTGAAATATGGCCAGTCGTACTTTGTGACATACAAATAGGATTTACAAAGTAGGAATATTTCGAGGATTTATTTCCTCTAATCTTTAACAAAAGTCCCTGTCTGTGGCAATTGATGTCATTAATAAAATTTTTAGGTCGCGGAAGTGCGAGCTGAACAACTGATGAAGTCGCCTCGGATTGGAGACTCGCAACTCAGTCAAGGTTTCACGGCCAACTCTCAAATACACATTTAAAACAACAACAATAATAATAATAACAATTGATAATATTATCATAAACAATATAAATACAAACAAAATTAATCCCTCCGCCGAACCACCGAAAACTTTCCATCCCAACCCCTCAAGTGATGCTAATTTTCTACAAGTGCTTTGAGTGTAGTTTTATATACAGTTTTAAATAATTTTAAAATGTGTTCGTTTAAAACTTGATTTGTAATTTTTATTCATTGTTGTTATTAATTTTTTGAATAAATAATTTAAAAAAAATGCCGAATACGTGCCAAAACCGTCACAATAACGGTGTGAGAGATGCAAATAATAATAATTCCATAAATGATATGTACAATCGGATAGGTAAAATTATTAATTATTTATAATTTTTTATATAATTATATTTTCATATATATGTGTGTTGTGTGCTCTTAATTTATACTTTTATATTTTTGCTATATAAAACTTGCACTTTATACTTATTTTGAAACGCAGATTTGAGTTCGGTTATAATTAACAATACGTGGATATGGGACGATTGTTTTACAACTTGTAAGAGTACTAAAAAAATTTTGTTCTAGTCACTTTAATTTGTTTATATTAGTAAAAACTAGATAGAATTTATTAATATTTTGTATAAATTATAATATATACTTGCATATCAAAATATTGAATAATTTGTAGTTGAAACGCAGATTTGAGTTCGGTTATATATATATATCTGTATTTTATTGCTGAAGAAATTTTAACTTGAGACTCAAAACGTATACAGAATTAATAAAAGTTTTTTGAAAAAAATACAGTTTGGCTTTTAATACTGCCTATAAAAATATTTGTGTATTATAAATACAAATTTGTATCTGTATTAACACTAGAATAAATAAATTTATTATTTATTTATTTACTTTAATTGTTATTTCTCTTTAAACATTGCAAAAATTGTATTTTTACTGTTATTTTAATTTAATATTTAATATTCTATTTTATATACTTTATTTTTATTCATTGATTGTTTTTATTTTTGAATTATTAAGAATATTATTCACTGAAGAAGGTTCATCAAATTCGAAACGTGTGCAAGTTTAAAAAAATGTTCAAATAGGTTGTAAATAGATATAATATATATTCATTTCCAATAAAATTAAATTAAATTCAAAAATAACTACAATTAATAAATTTTAATATTACTTAAATTTATAATAATTCAGGATAAATCAGTTAAGTTTAGTTTATTTTTATACCACTTTTTTATTATTGTTACTTACATCAGAATCAATTAAAATAAAATTTTAGATTATTTTTTCAATTTTAATAAAAGAAGAAAGTGGTATAAAATGACCATTTAGTTAAATTGTATTTAAAGTCTTTAAAATAACATATTTAATACTTAAAATATTTTGCATAAAACTAATTGAATTATTCTAAATTATTATAAATTTAAATAATATTAAAATAAAATTCCTAAAAATTTTATATACTTAAACATATTTTTAATAAAAGTTATTTTTGCACTAACTCTAAATTAACATATTTTCTAACAGAAAAAATATGATAAATGTCATGTAAATATAACAAATGTGTTATTTTTGTATTATTTTTATTGTTTATAATTTATGCAAATTGTTATTGGTAATATATGAATTATGCAAAATGCATATATATATATATATATATATATATATATATATAAAATTTTTTAAAACAATAATATTGAAAATATATAAAGAATTTTTTTTAATTAACAATTATTTAAAAAAAATGCTAAGAATGACTTGATATATACCAAAACGTTATTGAATTAATATTAACAATTTTGATATTTATTTTAGTTTTTGATTTTTTTTTTAAAAAATCTGTTTTTCTAAATCATCTGTTATATGTTAAATGTTATACTTTGGGTAGAAAAATATTAATAAAGAGCAATTATTCAACATTATATTTCTATCTTCTAGGGTCGAATCCAGGGTCAAACTCGAGCCCTAAAGTGACGGCAAAGGTGATGTTCGGAACCGTAGAAGCCCTACGAGATTTGAGACTAAAAGAGCAGATGCAAAGGCAGCAGAAAAAATAAAAATTGAAAAAAAATGAAAAAAAAAATTGTGATTGTAATGATATATATTAATGTGATATAATGTTTGTTTGATTTTTATTTATATTGTTAACGAATGGAAAATATACATGTATTGAAATAAATACACACTGGTTGTGGTTTTTGTATAAATTATTAAGACTTTATTGTTGAGACCTCAAAGATCTCCAAAATGCAGAAGCAAGAGTTATTTTATTGCTTTTTTTATTCTTAGGTTTTGGAATTATTTTATTATAAAACTTTCAAGTATCTTATTATTTTATAAACCTGATTAAATGGGTCCAACTTTTTATGAAACTTTGCAACACACTTTGGTGCCTTTTTTAAAAACTAGGGCATTTCAAACTCGACGAATTTTGAAATTTTGGAATTTATGGTTTAACAAATAAGAGTAATATTCTCAATTTAAGAAATTTAATTTTAATCAGTGGTCTTAGAAATGTTATTCACGGTTAAAAAATAATAAAAATTAACCACAATAATCTAAAAATGAACTCAATTTTAACAAGGGTCTAGGTTGTTCATAATTTTTAAACTACGTGGAATAATTTTGTTTACGATAGTTACTATCAGATGAGTTCTGGGATGCCTTTACATATTTTGCCTGATTTGTAGACTTTTGAGTTTTTCTAGACATATGTTTTTGTATTTAAAATAATTCCGCCTGTATAAATGCCAATTTATTTCTGCCTATGCAAAAATGATAGTTACTTTCAGGCACAAATATTTCCTTTTATAGAAATTATTTGCATATTTGAAAATATAAAAGAAAAAACATGGTATGGCATGGTATCGTGCCTTAAGGCAAATTGCTGGAACTTCCCGTACCAAAAATTCAAATTTTTAAAAAACTTTTAAATTTTTTTGAAAACTTTGAAAAAAGTTTTAGAGAACATAAACCGAATTACCATTTTTGGCTAGACCTGCACATACCAAAAACTAATCACCACGTTTCCTTATTAAGAGAAATCGAATGGTTTTTGAATCATTCACATTGGTTGATCCGTGTTCCTGAAATCGTCGACGAAAATATTGTTTCCGCACATACATACACATACACACGCACGCACAAACACACATCAATTTTTGTGTAAGGTATGCCGAAATGCTTAAGAAACTTTTGAAACGTGAAAATATGCAGAAAGTTTCATTTTTGATTTTTTGCTATTACTATAACTTACCCTAAAATAAATATTTTATTTTTTAAAATTCATTAATAATTTTTATAAAATATAAATTTGATTAAAATTGTCAAATATTTGGTTTACATTAAACATGAAAATTGAATTAATCAATAAAGTCCTTTTTTCACTTTAATTTCTAATTTGATCGTCAGAAACTCTTTTGGCTTTAATTTTAATTTTACTCGTTAGTAGAGTTCCTTTGTTCCTTTAATTTCTAATTTGCTCGTCAGAAACTTTTTATATTTTTACGCTCATTGTAGTATTTTTACGCTCATTGTAGTATTTTTAAGCTCATTGTAGTATTTTTACGCTCATTGTAGTGTTTTTACGCTCATTGTAGTATTTTTACGCTCATTGTAGTATTTTTACGCTCATTGTAGTATTTTTACGCTCATTGTAGTATTTTTACGCTCATTGAAGTATTTTTACGCTCGTCGTAGTATTTCTACGTTCATTGTAGTATTTTTACGCTCATTGTAGTATTTTTACGCTCATTGTAGTATTTTTACGCTCATTGTAGTATTTTTACGCTCATTGTAGTATTTTTACGCTCGTCGTAGTATTTTTACGCTCATTGTAGTATTTTTACGCTCATTGTAGTATTTTTACGCTCATTGTAGTATTTTTACGCTCGTCGTAGTATTTTTACGCTCATTGTAGTATTTTTACGCTCATTGTAGTATTTTTACGCTTATTAAACTCGGCATACATTAGAAAAATTTGATATATGTGTTGAACAATTTTTCGTCGATGATTTCGGGAACACGGATCCTTTTTCCATTATATCGTGCTGATTAGTTTTTGGCAAATGCAGGTCCAAAATACGTGACAAAAATGGTAATTCAATTTTTGAGAGAACGGAGAAATTTTTTCAAAAATTTCAAAATTCTCGAAAATCTCTTTTTAACTTCCCGTAGGGTAAGTTATTGTAATGGGCCGAAAATCGAAATTGAAAATTTTTACATTTCTCGACGTTTTGAAGGTTTCTGAACATTTTACTGGCATACCTCAGAACAAATGGATGTGTGTGTGTGTGTATGTATGTATGGATACAAATTTCCAGTCACGTTTTCGGGCGCACGGATCAACCGATTTGAATGGTTCAAAAAACATTCGATTCCTATTGATAGGGAGATGAGCTGATTAGTTTTTGGAAAAGGCAGGTCCAGCCGTTACGGAGACAAAGAGCAAAGAGTGCAGAAAATAGAAAAAGAGTTTTTGAGAGAACGGAGTATCCGATTTGAATGATCTAAAAAACGAAGATACGAGACTAAATGTGTAAAAAATTGCAGTTTTTGAGAGAACTAAGCGTCCGATTTAAATGATTCAAAGAACTTTCTGCTTGTCTTAACAAAATAATTGACTTTGGAAAAAAAAATTTTGTTTCAATTTTTTGTATATCTAAAATAATTCAGATTTTATTTTTAATTCTGACTAAAGTTCTTATGTACTTTAAACAAATATGTTTAACTTTGCAATTCAGTTTATATAATTTTTATAAATATCAGACATTGTTACAATATTTATAATAATCTATTTGAAAACATTCAGTATTCCTCGAACATTTCGTTACGGTACAGGAAGTTCCAGCAATTTGCCTTAAGGAACGATGCCAAACACCCCACTAGTTTTTCAAAGTTTTCCAAAAATTACTTAAAGGTTACCTAAAAAATTAAATTTTCGGTACGGAGAGTTCGAGAAATTTGCCTTAAGACACGATGCCGTGCACCACTAGTAAACTTGATTAATTAAATTATTCTAATTCTAAGCAAAGTTTTGTATAGACTCTATATAAACTTTATCGATCTTTGGGGTTCAACATAGACTTTTATTAGACTATTACTACCAGGAAGCCTAACAACTCAATCATGAATCCCCAGAGTTCAACAAACTCGATTTCAAGCGTACGTTTTTTTTTTCAAAAATTGCGTAACTCTATAATTCTCGAAGAAGATTGGAGCTCCTCGATTCGTGCCGGATTCGTAGTCTTAAGAATAATATATAAGTGAAGAGAGACACAAACCTCCGGACCGGTTTTCGAGTTTAAATAGCGGATGCAAAGAAATGTGTCTAATGGCGCAAAAAACTACCGAGAAAATATCACAACCAGATATTTATAACTATATATGTACAGACGTCTCAACTCTACGGCAATGATATCTGACACACTAAACCAGGGATGGAAATAACAGTGATAGACACAAAAAAGTTAAAGATTTTTATTTAGTTTTGCCTGGACTTATGCCTACCTTTGGGCAGACCTCCAGTATATTCTAATCCATTTGAGCTAATGACTACGATTTTGCTGATATATTTTAAAGCACTTAAAGACTTTAAAAATTGTATAATTAATTAAAAGATTTAAAAGATTTAATTTAAAAATTGAGTGAAAAAATAAAAAACTAGTGGTGTATGGCATCGTGCCTCAAGGCAAATTGCTGGTACTTACCGTACCGTAATGAAGTATACGAGAAATTTTAAACGATTACAAATACTGTAACTTTCATTATTTTTGCCTTAGCCTGGGTCATTTTTTGAATTTGTAATCCAAAATGACAAAAATATTTTTTGAAAAAAAAAATTAGAAACAACAATAAAAAAATTAAACGCTTGCTATACATATATATATATATATATATATACATTTCCTAAAAATTGTGACTCATAGTACTCTAATACAGTATATGCTTACGTCTGCTGTTGTTTAAAACTATTTTCCATTGTAGCACTAATTGTAGGAAAATGAAAAACTCAAAAAAGGCAGTAGTAGGGTGGGCTGGGTATAAAGGTCCGAAAGCAATTACTTTGTTGAAACAAGCAGAAAGTTCTTTGAATCATTTAAATCGAACGCTTAGTTCTCTCAAAAACTGCCATTTTTTTAACATTTAGCTCTGTATCTCCAAAACCGCTGGGCCTAACCTTTGCCAAAAATTAATAACCATTTTTCCCCTCTATATATATATATATATATATATATATATATTATCCGACCCTGGTTTTGAATATAACACAAATATATCTTTTGTTATTACGGTTATATTCTATTCAAGATTTAGTGATGTAAATTATACATCTTTTTATTATTTTTGTAAGAGAGAATATACGTATAATGTTCAGATTAAGTACAGTAAATATAAATTATAAATTAAATAAAATAACTGTAAAAATATAAATACAAAGAATCCCTAATTGGCTAATACAAATTAACCAAATTTTTATCCAAGTTTTTTTAAAAAAAATGTATTGATAATAATTAAATTAAACTGCTTAAAAATAATTAAATTAAATAAAACTGCTATTTTTTGACTTGATTGCAACCATAGTACTGGGTGCAAAATATGAATAATTAGAATAAAATTCAAAATCCAAATATACAAAACCAAATAGTTAATTTTTTTAAAAATAAGCAACAACAAGTGAACAGTGCAAAAAATAATTAATTAAATAGCAACTTTGTTTTATTTAACCATAAATTTTCTGACTAATAAATTACCAAAAATTACTGAAGTCTCAACGACTGATAATGCAAAATAAAAATAAAAACAAACAAATCCACAACACCAAACTATTCAAAATTTTGCCTTTATCCAAGTGTCCTCTCTATCTACATCGATTTTCGATCAACAGAGACTCTCGACAGCCTTCGCCAAGAACAGTATTTAATGTTCTATTGAGACTGATTTTTTTGCCTTAATTTATAATGTTTAAGTGGTTTCTTGTTCTCATTCGACAACATCCGTACCATCAGTACATCTGACCATCAACTAAAACAACTCACGACATACTATTGTTAGTAGT